CTCGTTCGCGCCGGCTGGCACGCGTTCAAACTCCGGTTCGGCTGGCGAAAACTCCGCCGCGGTCTCTGGATTAGCAAAATCAACAGGACCAGTGCGGAATACGGGCTCGAGGGGTCCGACACGAAGAGTGGGTTTGGCGGAGCAGATGTGCAGCGCGGGTTCGGCTGAGCAGACGTGAAGCGCGGGCTTGAGGAGCGCGGGTTCGGCTGAGCTGAAGTGAAGCGCGGTCTCTCGCCGCTTCTTCTCCTCCACGCCCACAGTAAATGATGAACCGCTCCTGAAGAGGGCCAGGTTGACATTCCCCTCCAGGATCCAGCTGGTACAGTCATCCGGCATTAACTGGGCAACGTCCTCGTCCAACCCGCTCCAAAACAAGTCCATGAGCTCGAGGTCGTCTAAAGCCCCCAGACGACTGCACGACATAAAGTCCCTCACGTACCTCTCGATGGACTGGCCTTGCTGAAATATCGAGGCAAGGAAACTTCTGAGGGCCTGGTTGCTGACAACTGCTGGATCCATGTCTTGGTGAGTTGTTCTGTAACGAGGTGCGGTGAAGGCAGATAGGAGGCTGGATCCAAACGCAGTTTACACGCTTTATTAAAGCAAACTATAATTCAAACAGACTCAGAACGTGGAACAAGAATCTTTACACTGGGAAACCAACACTCACGTTAATCCTGAAACATATAACAACTCACAAAGACAGGGCAGAAACACAGGGCTTAAATAATCAGGGACAAACGAGCTAGACAGGATAACAAGGGGGCGTGGTTAACAAGAAACACCTGGGATAACTAATGGACAAGACAGGGAACCACTAAACATGACAAGACACAAACCCACATCGTGACAGTAACATTATTCTCATCTGAATTATAAATAATTGATTTCTGCATACAAAATAATACTACCATTAAAAACATTCAATTTTCTTTTTTTAATGAATGTAGAATGTGTAAGATTAGTGCTCAGAGGACAAGAAATGAAAACCAATGCAATATGACGAATGTCCAAAAGACGGGACCCACAGACTGTTTTGAAATGGAGTTGGATTAATATGTTTTGCTTTTAAAACAGTGTGTGTGATTTTGGTTGGGTGACAGTTGTAGGTTACAGTTCAGGGAACTACACTGCGACCAAAATGGTCGCATATGCGACCTTTTGAAATGCCATTGCGACCCTAATTTTTAATGGGTCGCAAATGTATCACCGTTTGATTATTTTTGTACCTACCTAATGTTTTAGGCAATATGCTATGATTTACTATGAGCATTTATTAAAACAGAAATGTGTATTTTAAGAATAGGCCTACGTTTTATAACGCGCTCTGAGCATTCAACACATCAAGTTGGCTTCGCGGATTCGCGCTTGTTTAACTGAGAGAACGAGCAGAGAGAGTGAAAGCCCCAGTCGCGCGCGCGCTCTCTCTCCCTCCCTCGCTCATAATAATGGATTGAGTTGACTGAATATCTTTGAGAATACACGATGGTAAAAGGTCGGAAGACCGAAGTTTTTTTTTTTCTGAACTACCACTGGCTGTGAATTGTGCTAAAATAACGTTGCCTCATCTTCTCTGAAAAGCTTTCCACACATTCAGATGGCATAAACCACTCTTTCAATAAACAAAACAAAAAATCTATCTGGTGATGAAATGTTTTCTGTGTTGAGACAAATCTTGTGCGATGTCCTAAACTGCCTGGATAATCACACAACGTGTGCCGTGGTCCGTTAATGACACGTCCGATTCGCGAACTGACTCCTTTGAACCGATTCACTTTAATGAATGGTTAAAATAACAACTGATCAGTCCAACACTGAACTCAAGAGTCATTCTAGAATGATTCATTCTTTCCAAGTAGAGCTATTCAAGTCATCTGGTGAAATTGTTTTTATATCGCAATATATATTGCAGAAAAATCCAAATATCGCAATGTCATTTTTTTACCAATATCGTGCAGCCCTACTGTAAATTCTGTGGGCCTTCAATTGCAGGACTGTCCAAATTTGTAACTGCGTCAAAACAATTCAAACACGAATCATTGAAGCTTCACAATGACATATTATATTTATTTTACTTTTCCTTGAGAGTTCAGAAGTCTGCCCATCTGTGCCAACCATAGCATGGTGAAATCCAAAAGAAATTAATTTAGCACTTTATTGTGTAGGCTACTGTATTTTCTATTGCAGTAAATCTATCCCAACCATTTTTAAAGAAAACAAGAAGGCATGTGTTTTAAAAGATGGAGAGTAAAATAAAAAGCACATCTGTATGCAATACAGTTTCACTATTGGTCATTATTATCCAGAGCGGCTTACTATATAAATAATTTGTGCGACCAAATCATGTTTTGCGCTAGTAACTGAAAAAGTTAGTAGCGCAAGTGCCACCAGTGGAAAATGTTAGTGTAGTTCCCTGCAGTTTGACAAGAGTTTACAGTGACAAAAGCACAATGTTGTGTTTTATTGCGAGTGTACACAAATATAAGTAACACTTTGCAGGTTTAATGATCTGTATGAACAAAATGACGGAGTAGGCCTATGTTTATTATGTTTCCACTGTTCGATCTCACGCCTCTCTCTCTCACACACACACACACACACACACACACACACACCAGCATTGCAATCTTGACATCGCAGCCTGTTCATTATGCGGTCACGGTCACACCAAACGCGAATAGAGCGTCAAATTCGCGTCTAGTTCGACGCTAGTCCAAAGCGAATAGGATGCGCATATAAAGCCAACGTTTGAAGTGAACGCGCGTTCAGAGCTAAGCCGATGGTACAGATTATGTGTCCCTAAAGAACCCGCGTATCTAACAGTAGTTCCGCATTACATTAATTAATTTGCACCCGAGTTTTATTTATTTTTATACCGTGTATTCTCCGTGTAAATTCGTGCACCGAACCGTGACGCCCGTACCGTTTCGGTTCGATACAAATACATGTACCGTTCCACCCCTACTTGTATCATGGATAGATGCACTTTTACGATGGATAGATGCACTTTTATGATGGATTGATGCACTTTTACGATGGATAGATGCACTTTTACGATGGATAGATGCACTTTTACGATGGATAGATGCACTTTTACGATGGATAGATGCACTTTTATGATGGATAGATGCACTTTTACGATGGATAGATGCACTTTTTTGATGGATAGATGCACTTTTTTGAGGTTCATACTGATGGTTGTAATCCACTGTCATTATGAAGGTTTCCCGGGTTCGCGTTTTTGAGGTTTGCGCAGAGATCATTTTTTAAATTATTTTTTCTTTTATTTTTTTAAGGCTTGTGCTTTGGAATCTATTTCAGAGTTTGCGTCCTCGAGCCTCTAGCCACTGCTGTTGTGCGGATGAGCGGCCGGAGCGCATTAAGGGTTTTCTGTTAGAACAGTGTCGTGTTAGCGGCCCCTAAGCTAATGTCAAGTCAAGTCATCTTCATTTATATAGCGCTTTTAACAATGTAGATTGTTTCAAAGCAGCTTTACAGAGATAAACATATAATTTAAGGTAACAGAGATTGGTTTGGTTTTATAGCTGTTCTTGAATAATGTTATTTCCAGCTAAAGTTAGTTTTGGTTGATTCACTTCCGGTGAAATGATCATTTGTTATTAAATTAGGGGCCGCTAAGACGACACCGTTCTCTCTAAACAGACTTTAAACGCGAGCCTGTGATAAACGCTGACGGCATTCACATGCGCATTAGGAATTGATTCTATAGTTATGTGCAGTTGAATATATCTGCGCAGGTTTGTAATTCCCTACAAACCATGCCTAAATAAACTACTTGTCTTGCCTATAAATTTTGATACAGAATTTTATTTTATTTTATTTTATCACTTCGGGGTTGGTACGCAAACCGAAATAACTAATGGTCTTTGCAACGGAAGTGAATCAATCAATCAATCAATCCAAAAACTAACTTTAGCTGGACAATAACTTTATTCTAGAGCTGCTGTAAAGCCAAAACAATCTCTGTTTGATAGAAGCGCTATATGAATGAAGTTGACTTGACTAAATCATGGGCTAATTTTCATTTTAACGTGAACTAGTCCTTCAAGCTCAACATAAGGTTTGACCAACATAGATCTTGACATTCTGAAGTTTAAACTCTAGTCTAGGCCTCAGCAATGTTTTCCCCGCACTAGAAAATTGAGTCGGAATGCACACAGACTAATTATGAGCTACAGGCAAAATTTGATTTGATTTGGTTAACTACAAAACATCTGATGTGTAACATTATATTACATCCGTTCAGTACAGTTCGTGTTAATATATAGGCTGTCTGTCTCAATGTTAATCAAATAATTGTGGTATCATGGAAAAAAAAAAAGTTGAATTTATGACTTGGTGTGTGCAAAGTTTGGTGGTATTACCAGGGATTTCAAGGTATGGTTGCTAGGTGATTTTGTTTTGGAACTTTCAGAAAACTAACTCAATTTTTCTCAATATTGACTTTATTGACTTCAAACAGGTGTAGCTCAGTAATTTTTTTGTCTGATTCCAGCAAATCATACATTTTTGAAAATGTTTTTTTAATAGAGAATATGAACATAACAGTAACACATTTTTGAAAATTTGCTCATTGTGACAAATATGTTCAATCAGTGATGATAACTTCAGTCATATCAGTTTCCTAATAATGTATGATATTTTTTATGGAGCAGGTGGAATAAAAAAATTCTCTATGACTAAAGCATATAATCATATTATTATTATTATTATTATTATTATTATTATGTTCATCATGGGCAATCCATTCTCTATATCCATTATTGTACCTGTTAATTTATTATGAATGATAATTGTGAGTTGTAATATTTCTGAACATTATTTGTGGTATGCATTAAGAGGATAGATAGTTAGAGAACTAAAGTATCATCTCATGACAACCACAAAAAAAGGCTCTAATGGAAAACTCAGTCTTTCTCAAATTTAACACTCACACACACACACACATCAGACATGATGACTGTTACTGTTCTACATACTTGAGTTTGTCCAGATGTTTGAGTGCATCAGAGAGCAGCTTCACTCCTGAATCTCCTGAGTGATTGTAGCTCAGGTCCAGCTCTCTCAGGTGTGAAGGGTTTGAACTCAGAGCTGACGCCAGAGCAGCACAACCTTCCTCTGTCACCATACAGCCAGATAACCTACAACAACAAGTGTTTATGTTAGAGTGCTTCATTATTAGAGATGTACAGTAAAAATATAGCCTCACCCAGGGGCTGCGCTAGGGGTGGACAAACGGGGCTGAAGCCTCAAATGTTTTAAGTAAAGTCTCGAATGTTTTGTTACCTTGTCTTTGTCAAAGAACTGAACAATTATTCAAAACAAATAATTGTGAACACAAAGTGCCCAATCCCCTTAATTTTTTTTAATAGATTCTCTACACTAATTAAAATTAAAATTAGTGGCAGTCACTATTTACAAGGATTACACCCCTCTCAAGGCGATCGGCGGGCTTCATCTGGGAACCTGACATCCAGACGCTCGAGAAGAGGGACAGGCGAGGGCGGAGCGTTCACAAAGAAAACTGCTCACAATTTGTACAGGCAGTTCCCTGGAGAACTGCCTGTGCCCGCTCTTCCTTCCTAGACAGAAAAACACACAGTTCGTGTGTGTCACCCGGCTTCAGATATCTTGAGCACGGGTCTGCACACTTCTGAAAGCATTTCATAATTACCTGATTTTCAAAGCGGTTACAGAGAAAACAGTCCCTGAAGACAAAAAGGATGTTGTCCTGTTTGCAAGGCACCCATTTATACTTCCAGGTCACATGTTAATCATTCAGATTAATGATTCACGGGCTGCCGCCGGGCAATGTGTTTGACGTGATTTGATTGTGATTTCAGACACCTGTCACGCCTGAGGCGTTCCCCAAAGCGTCATTCGACGCAGTGCGTCCCTTTCGAAAGGGAACTCTAGCTGGTGGATGTCACAGAAATGAAGGTGACACAAATCTACAGCATTAATGTCTTAAAGATTTGGAAAAGGGGGAAAAACTTGTATTTCTAGAAACATTGTGTCACTATTTGGGTGACCCAACAAAAACAAATTAGCATATTTTTGGATTATTTCTGTTTTTAAAAGGATCCAAACACGAAGATGATTCATAAATTTAGTAAAAAAAAAAAAAAAAACGTCAGAAAAAAACAGCAACAGTGGTTAATGTAGGACTGGTCAGTAAAATTTAAGAGACAGGGCTTAGAGAAGGGTCATTTGTCATGAAAATATGTCAATAAAATGATAAAACGGTGCAGAATATAAACATTTTTACTTTTTGCCCCAAAATTTTAGACAACACTGTATACACATTTCCAAGAGAGCAGTTAGATTTGTGGTAGGCTTATGAAGGAAAAAACAGAACAATTTTCTCTTTCCCAAAATGTTTTCTTCTTAAACTTGCTTGGCGGGGGCCTGTACTAATTATCATCAGTGTGAAACACAAACCTCAGTATGTTCAGTTGACAGTTTGGACTCTTTAGTCCAGTAGAGAGCAGCTTCACTCCTAAATCCTGCAGGTCATTGTTACTCAGGTCCAGCTCTCTCAGGGGGGAGTTTGATGATTGTAGAGCTGAAGCAAAAGCTTCACAGTGCTGATCTGTGAGATTACAGCTTGCCATTCTGAAAACAGCAAGGACTCTAGTTAAAACGCATGCTGTTGTGCTGATGTCCCCTTATGCAAAGAAAATATAGTTCCATATATTTATGATCAATATATTAAATGGTGTTAATATATTGAAAATATACAGAATAATATATTGTATTAGAATATTAAAATACAATGAATAATACATAAGGAATTGTCACTTTTCATATATTGAAAAATATGTGACAATATATTTATTATTGCACTAATGTGTATTCATGTGTTATTTTCTCTTGAGTTATGTTTCTGCTATACAAAATAATTGGGTTGAGTTTACGAGGAAAGTTCTGTTGGTATTACTTAAAGCTGCAGTCGGCAAGTCGGGCAGATTGAGTGGACTTAGGCAAAATTTTGAATGTTTACAACTCTCATGTCCCTTCCCCCACTATCAACGAATACCCTCCCACCGAGTTCATGCTCGTCAGTGCGTGTGCACCAGATTTTCAGTGAACGCGCCCGTCTCATCAGCATCCATCAACACCATGGATTATTTGGAGGTATGCTGTCCTGGCTAATCTACTGATAGATTGAAATTGCTAACGTCATTTATACTCTAAATGAGCTTACTTGATTTTACGCCATCACTCTTCGTTACTACGCGAACTTCCGCAAACTTCAGGCGTGTGCATGTGATTGTAACGTGCGTGAGGGGTGGCGTGTGCCCGATCTGTGATTGACAGTCAGATCTCACACCCCCCTGCGCTGATTGGACCCGATGATCTGGGAGCTGTGGATTTTTGCAAAACAAATAACACGCTCCAGGTGGAGTTAGAAGCTCGGGTTTTTTTCTAAAACCACTTTTTTAGGTTGTTATGTCGGATTATAGTGTCTATTTCACTGAATATGATAAAAAAAAATTTGCTGACGGCAGCTTCAATTCTAACTGGTCTAACACAAAATACTCATTTTAAATAGTCGCCCCAATTATTTTTTAGACAAAATTAGGCAATATTTTGCTTGAGAATGTGTAAGAAATAATTGAGAAATGTAAAGCAACAGGTTTCCAAACTAAAAAATATCGCCTTGGTGTAACAAAAAAAAATGTAGGCAACTATTTGCATGGGAATTTGCAGTGTCACACCCGTTCTTCCTCTTTTGCATCTGCTTCCATATATGTATACCCGCACTGCGGGGCAGAATGCGAGGTGCAAATCTTGGACACCAATATGCATTGGTCGAAAATACAAGTACTTAGAACTGCAGTTTTAACACTAACAAAAGTTCGAAAAGAGTGGGTATAAGCTCAGAGCTTAAATAGACAAACGTATACAAGCAAATGATAGACAGTTAGAAGTAATCAAACCATAATGAGTCTGGGCAATGGGTTATGGGAGATGTAGTTCATGATGGAGAAGCTAAAGAGTCAGAAATAATGTCCTCTGGTGGAGATCATGGAGAACTCTAGCTGGTGGATGTCACAGAAATGAAGGTGACACAAATCTACAGCATTAATGTCTTAAATATTTGGAAAAGGGGCAAAAACTTGTATTTCTAGAAACCATGTCACTATTTGGGTGACCCAAAAAAAAAAAAAAAGCATATTTTTGGATTATTTCTGTTTGTATTTAAAAGTATCCAAACACGAAGATGATTCATAAATTTAGTAAAAAAAAAAAAAAAAAAAGCAACAGTGGTTAAAGTAGGACTGGTCAGTAAAATTTAACAGACAGGGATTAGAGAAGGGTCATTTGTCACGAAAATATGTTAATAAAATTATAAAACAGTGCAGAATATTTAAAAAAAAAATGTTTTACTTTTTGCCTCAAACATGCTTGACGGGGGTCTGTACTAATTATCATCAGTGTGAAACACAAACCTCAGTATGTTCAGTTGACAGTTTGGACTCTTTAGTCCAGTAGAGAGCAGCTTCACTCCTAAATCCTGCAGGTCATTGTTACTCAGGTCCAGCTCTCTCAGGGGGGAGTTTGATGATTGTAGAGCTGAAGCAAAAGCTTCACAGTGCTGATCTGTGAGATTACAGCTTGCCATTCTGAAAACAGCAAGGACTCTAGTTAAAACGCATGCTGTTGTGCTGATGTCCCCTTATGCAAAGAAAATATAGTTCCATATATTTATGATCAATATATTAAATGGTGTTAATATATTGAAAATATACAGAATAATATATTGTATTAGAATATTAAAATACAATGAATAATACATAAGGAATTGTCACTTTTCATATATTGAAAAATATGTGACAATATATTTATTATTGCACTAATGTGTATTCATGTGTTATTTTCTCTTGAGTTATGTTTCTGCTATACAAAATAATTGGGTTGAGTTTACGAGGAAAGTTCTGTTGGTATTACTTAAAGCTGCAGTCGGCAAGTCGGGCAGATTGAGTGGACTTAGGCAAAATTTTGAATGTTTACAACTCTCATGTCCCTTCCCCCACTATCAACGAATACCCTCCCACCGAGTTCATGCTCGTCAGTGCGTGTGCACCAGATTTTCAGTGAACGCGCCCGTCTCATCAGCATCCATCAACACCATGGATTATTTGGAGGTATGCTGTCCTGGCTAATCTACTGATAGATTGAAATTGCTAACGTCATTTATACTCTAAATGAGCTTACTTGATTTTACGCCATCACTCTTCGTTACTACGCGAACTTCCGCAAACTTCAGGCGTGTGCATGTGATTGTAACGTGCGTGAGGGGTGGCGTGTGCCCGATCTGTGATTGACAGTCAGATCTCACACCCCCCTGCGCTGATTGGACCCGATGATCCGGGAGCTGTGGATTTTTGCAAAACAAATAACACGCTCCAGGTGGAGTTAGAAGCTCGGGTTTTTTTCTAAAACCACTTTTTTAGGTTGTTATGTCGGATTATAGTGTCTATTTCACTGAATATGATAAAAAAAAATTTGCTGACGGCAGCTTCAATTCTAACTGGTCTAACACAAAATACTCATTTTAAATAGTCGCCCCAATTATTTTTTAGACAAAATTAGGCAATATTTTGCTTGAGAATGTGTAAGAAATAATTGAGAAATGTAAAGCAACAGGTTTCCAAACTAAAAAATATCGCCTTGGTGTAACAAAAAAAAATGTAGGCAACTATTTGCATGGGAATTTGCAGTGTCACACCCGTTCTTCCTCTTTTGCATCTGCTTCCATATATGTATACCCGCACTGCGGGGCAGAATGCGAGGTGCAAATCTTGGACACCAATATGCATTGGTCGAAAATACAAGTACTTAGAACTGCAGTTTTAACACTAACAAAAGTTCGAAAAGAGTGGGTATAAGCTCAGAGCTTAAATAGACAAACGTATACAAGCAAATGATAGACAGTTAGAAGTAATCAAACCATAATGAGTCTGGGCAATGGGTTATGGGAGATGTAGTTCATGATGGAGAAGCTAAAGAGTCAGAAATAATGTCCTCTGGTGGAGATCATGGAGAACTCTAGCTGGTGGATGTCACAGAAATGAAGGTGACACAAATCTACAGCATTAATGTCTTAAATATTTGGAAAAGGGGCAAAAACTTGTATTTCTAGAAACCATGTCACTATTTGGGTGACCCAAAAAAAAAAAAAAGCATATTTTTGGATTATTTCTGTTTGTATTTAAAATTATCCAAACACGAAGATGATTCATAAATTTAGTAAAAAAAAAAAAAAAAAAAGCAACAGTGGTTAAAGTAGGACTGGTCAGTAAAATTTAACAGACAGGGATTAGAGAAGGGTCATTTGTCACGAAAATATGTTAATAAAATTATAAAACAGTGCAGAATATTTTAAAAAAAAATGTTTTACTTTTTGCCTCAAACATGCTTGACGGGGGTCTGTACTAATTATCATCAGTGTGAAACACAAACCTCAGTATGTTCAGTTGACAGTTTGGACTCTTTAGTCCAGTAGAGAGCAGCTTTACTCCTGAATCCTGCAGGTCATTGTTACTCAGGTCCAGCTCTCTCAGGGGGGAGTTTGATGATTGTAGAGCTGAAGCCAAAGCTTCACAGTGCTGATCTGTGAGATTACAGCCTGCCAATCTGAAAACAACAAGGACTCTGGTTAAAACACATGCTGTTGTGCTGATGTCCCCTTATGCAAAAACATATATATTTACTTATATTCATGATCAATATATTAAATGGTTTAAATATATTAGAAAATATACAGAATAATATATTGCATTAGAATATTAAAATATAATGATTAATACATAAGGAATTGTCACTTTTAATATATTGAAAAATATGTGACAATATATTTATTATTGCACTATTGTGTATTCATGTGTTATTTTCTCTTGAGCTATGTTTCTGCTACACAAAGTATTTGGGTTGAGTTTACAAGAAAAGTTCTGTTGGTATTACTTAAGTCTAAATGGTCAAACACAAAATACTCATTCAAATAGTTGCCCCAATTATTTTTTTAGATAAACCAAGGCAATATTTTGCTTGAGAATGTGTTAGAAATAACTTAAGAGAATTGAAGATAAATTTAAGGCAACAGGTTTCCAAACTAAAAAATATTGCCTGGTTTAACTAAAAAGAATTGAGGCAACTATTTGAATGGGAATTTTGAGTATTTTGAACTCAACTAATTTTTGTTTGACCAAATAGACTTTACATGCACTGTAAAACCTAACAGTACTATTTACTCAATTAAATTGAGGTCACTGCACTCAAATAATACTGAAACTCTAAGTGTTTTGAATGACTGAAACAGAACTCAAACTGAATGAGTTATAGAACATTTCTAGATCCCAGAATGATAATTGAATAATAATTGTATAGTTAAGTTAATTAATCATCAATTAAGTGATGATTGTTCATTAGTGATTAACACCTGCTGTTAACAAGCAGAATCACTGAAGGAAAGAGAAACACAAGAAATACAAGTTTTAAGGTCACCATGATGGAGATCAGCGTTTGCTTTAGTTGGGCTCTTGACCCTTGACGTTTGAGTACAAGTCTTTCTTTGGCTGCTGGAATTGAGTGTTTATAAAACATTTGCTATGGCCCAAAAGTCAAGGAAAAGTATGATCGGGTGATGATGGTCAAGGTTTGATGATGACAATCATCACTTAATGACTTGATACACTGATCTCATTCAGAGTCTAATCTCTGATTATATTATTAGTTGTATTTGAAAATAGATTCTACAACATAAGAACTAGCAATGTTATGAATTTCAGATAGTATGAAGAATTTTAAAGAAAATGTGATTCATTACCAAAACTAACACAGATATCAAGAATCAGCATATGAATCTCAACAATGGTGACCATTAAAAAAAAACTATTCATACTGCAATGCATGCTGGGTACTACCATAATGCAAACCTTATCCATGGCTCCCAGCATGCATTGCAGCATTAATCATTTTTTAATGGTGACCATTGTTGAGATTCATATGCTGATTCTTGATGTCTGTATAAGTCAACATGATACCATAGAGGTTTTTAAAATCTGATTGAAAGGGCCTTGCAGCAGAATCACAGTTATTTTATAATTATTAATACAAGTTATATATCACCTGTTTATCAGAGAGTACTCTCTAGAAAAGATCAGAGAATCAAGACACCAAATGTTGATTCATCATTCCATAAATCATCATCAAAACAAAATTTTCTTTTGGCTTTTGTGCAATAACAAATGTGTTATATAAACACTCAGTTACAGCAGCCAGAGGAAAAACCGGTGTTATAAAGTCAAGGCTCAAGAGCCCAACTAATGCAAACACTGACCACTATCATGGTGTCTTTAAATGAAACTCGATAAATCATCTTCATCTAAACCTCTGTTCATTCACAATAATAACTTCTGTAGACGCATGGTAAAAGTCAAACTGGTTAGTAATAAGTAATAATAAGCTGGTAATGCTGTTTGTGGAGTTGTTCAATCCTCCTCTGAGATCGTGAGAGATTTCAAATTATTCTATCTTCAGTTGATTTCATCTAATGTTGTGGTTGGAAGTCAGTTGTAGTTCTTGTGTTTCTCTTTCCTTCAGTGATGTTAACAGCAGGTGTTCATCATTAATGCTCAACAATCACTTAATTAATCACTTAATTAATCACTTAATGTATTGACTGCAATATCTACTTTTAGTGAACTCAACTGAAATAATTTCAGAGTACTCATAACTATTGTTTTTTATAAACTTAAATGAATTGAGGCAATCGGTTTCCTCAAATGTAATGAGTTAGCTTAACTCATTGGATTTGACTTTGTGTGTGATATTGTGAGCTAGCAGTAACTGCAAGTGCTCTTAGTTCATTTAAAGTTAGTCATTTCACTGTTTTTACTCAAAGTGAAGTTTCAGCTATATACAGTATTAAATGCAGTGTAAAGTTTAATTGTGTTTTAAGAAATATTATTGTTTTAGTGAACTCAAATAAAATAAGTTCAGAGTACTCATAACTATTGTTTTTTATAAACTTAAATTAATTGATGTAATCGGTTTCCTCAAATGAAATGAGTTAGCTTAACTTGTTGGGTTTTACAGTGTGTTTTCAACATGTACATTACATTATTCAACATTATTCAATATATCGTAATATATTAATGCAATATATTATTCCCCATCATCACACATTTTGGATGTATCTCTCATCACACTCAATTCAATTCTTAAAGTCTCTACTAATGAACTACTGAGTCAAATCGGGTGTGTTTGACAAGGGAGACATCAAACAGGTGCAGTGTTGGGGGACCCAGGACAGGTTTGAGAAGCACTGACTTAGTTAACCAAATTCACCATAAAATATCATGTTATTTTTACATTCACTATCTGGTCAAAATTAAAACAAAGATTTTACTTAATTAAAAGTACATTATGTACATCAGGGATCTTCAACTCCAGTCCTGGAGGGCTGATGTCATGCAGACTTAAATTCCAACTCTAATTAAACACACCTGTCTGTAATTTGCAAGTAAATCTGAATTAGGCTACGTTCACACTGCAGGCTGAAACGACCCTATTCCGATTTTTTTGCCCCTATGCGACCTGTATCTGATCTTTTCATGACAGTCTGAACGACACAGATCCGATCTTTTCAAATGCGACCCAGGCCACTTGGGTATGTGGTCCAAATCCGATATGTATCCGATCTTTTGAAATGCGACTTCAATCTGAACGGCCAGGTCACATGTATCCGACCCGCACGTCATTGATATGCGACAAACGTCATAATTCTGCGTTGAAGTAGGCGGGAATGAGAAGATTGTAATTGTGCTGGCTCTGTTGGGAAAATAACTTTAATATTACTAAACGAGCTCCACTGTTGACATCCATGTTTAGCTACTTCCGCAAACAACAAGTGACGTCGTTGACCGTCGAGTACTCTTCTGCGCATGCGGGTCACTTCTGGGTCATTTCACGCTCACGTTCACACAGGAGATCACAAAATGTCGCATTTAATTGGAAATGTGAACAGAGCATTAAGCCCCTGCAGTGTGAACGCAGCCTAAAAGAACATCCGATAATTTGCATGTGTGAGGATATTTGGAGGGCCAGTGTCCTAAACTCAGCAGGACACTTGTCCTCCAAGACTGGAGCTATATATATATATATATGTGATGAAGTACTTTATAACATAAACCAATTCTATTGACTAAAATGACATCAACACCTGCCTTAGAGTTGGCCTAGTTTTACTGGTAGGTTGGTTATGTTCACCAAGTAAAAAACTATTAAAAAAAAAGTGTTTGTGAACACAAACCCTCATAAAACTCATCAAACCTCCATCACAACTTCTGTCAAATTATATTTATAATTATGTTTATATTTTCACACTCACAGAGCTTTTCTGCAGTTCCTCACAGCAGGTAGCAGTCTCATCCTACCCTCTTTTGATTTGATGTTCTTCATGAAGTCTAACTCATCCATCACCTCCTCTGACATGAGGATCATGTTTGCCAATGTTGAGCATTGCGCAAGAGAAAGATTTTTTCTTTTTGTTTTAGAGTTTAAAAATGCCTGCATTTCTTTAACAACAGAATGATCCTTCATCTCAATCAAGCAGTGTGACAGATTCATCCATCTTTCAGGACTGACATTGTTTTTTTGACCTCGTTTGAGGTTTTGGATTATTTTCTCGATGTCCTCTGGGTTGTTCTCTGTGTGAATCAGCACATCCTGTAAGAGTCTCTGGTTGGACTCCAGTGAGATGCCATGAAGGAATCGAAGGAAAAGATCCAGGTGTCCATTTTCACTCTTCAAGGCTTTATTCATTGCTTCCTTCAGGAGCTCTTCTAGAGGAACATCCTCACACTTAGTTCTGGACTTTCCTGTGAGAAACATGTTCATAACTTCACTGTTCTTGTGTAAATAGCAGGAAAACACATACAGTGCTGCAAAAAACTCCTGAAAGCTCAGATGTACAAAGCTGTAAACCTTCCTGTGATAAATCACAGATTCCTCCCTAAAGATCTCAGTGCAAATCCCAGAATACACTGAGGCGTCAGTGACGTCTATGCCGCTCTCAATCAGGTCCTCCTCATAGAACATCACATTGCCCTTCATCAGCTGATTGAAAGCCAGTTCAGCAAGTTTCACAATCACTTCTCTGTTGGACTGCAGGGGTTTCTCTGGATCTCTCTCTTCATACTTCTGGTTCCTCATATGAGTTTGAATGAGGAGGAAGTGTATGTACATTTCAGTCAGAGTTTGAGGGATTTCTGCACTGAGATCTTGTTTCAGGATGTTTTGAAGCACAATGGATGAGATCCAGCAGAAGACGGGTATGTGGCACATGATGTGGAGGCTTCTTGCTTTTCTGATGTGTGAGATGATTCTGCTGGCTTGATGCTCATCACTGATTCTCTTCCTGAAATATTCCTCCTTCTGAGGGTCATTGAATCCCTGAATTTCCGTCACACGGTTGATGTAGTTTGAGGGGATCTGATTGGCTGCTGCTGGTCTGGTGGTGATCCAGATGAGAGCAGAGGGAAGCAGATCTCCTTTCATGAGGTTTGACATCAACACACCCACAGATGAAGTCTCAGTCACATCTGAAATGTTCTCACTGTCTGAAAACATCAGTGTAATTCTGCTTTCATCCAGACCATCAAAGATGAACACAACTGTACATTCATCATACATCTCTGAGTCCAGATCTCGAAGTTCAGGATGAAAGTCAAGCAGAAGTCTGTGAAGACTGTACTGATGATCTTTAATCAAGTTCAGCTCTCTAAATGGAAGCACAAACATGAAATCTACATCCTGATTGGCTTTTCCCTCGGCCCAGTCCAGAATGAACTTCTGCACAGAGACGGTTTTTCCGATTCCAGCGATGCCTTTAGTAAGAACAGTCTTGATTTTGTCTTTCTTCTCTCTTCTTATCTCCTCATATCCAGGTTCAGGTGAAGGATCAAAGATGTCATTGCAGTGGATCGGAGTGTCTTGGAGGGTCTTGTAACTTTTCTCCATCTGTAGCACCTCATGTTCTTCATTCACTCCTTCACTCTCTCCCTCTATGATGTACAGCTGTGTGTAAATCCTGTTCAGGAGGGTCTGATTCTCTTGTAGTTTGATTCCTTCAAAAACCCTCTCATATCTGTTCTTCATGCTGGTTTTGTGCCGGTCTTTGACCCTCTGAAGATCATCATGTACTGGCTGGTGGGAATCCCTGATCTGGTCAGCTCTTCCACCACTGAAAAAAACATTATGATAAACAGAAAGACAAAAACAAAAGTGAGAATATATTTAAATGTCTCTAATATTAAATGATCCTATTTGAAATCATACCACAAACACATTTAGAAAGAAGTGTTTGATTAATAGACTATAATATGATTACTGTCCATATAACGCTAATGCAGAAAACCCATGTGACAAAAATACAGTGTCATATAGACATATAAAAGAGGAATGACAGAGAAGCTATTTAATAACATCCGTACCGACTCTTTCTTTACATAACGATTTCAGTTTCTGTTGTATTTCAGTTTATCATTTGTTCTGTTTAAAGAACTTCATTGCTGAAATAACATAAAAATATAATAATTTCCCTCTTGTTGTTTGTGTGTACACTTTGTTCTTGTGTTGAATGTTTGACTCTACATGAATATACTCACAGATGGTGAAAGGGTGCTGCTTCATCACTGAGATCAGGGGGCTGTAGAGGAGATGCTGCTCTCTTTCTCTTCCTGCTGACGATACTGAGAGGAAGAGAGAATATTTCAGATTGTTTATTTGCAGATTATCTGTGTGCTCCAATAAATTAACACTAGGGGTGGGAGAAAAAAATCAATCCATCGATGCATCGCGATTCTCTCTCCAACGATTCTGGATCGATTCTGAGAATTCCAGAATCGATTCTGAGCTTAGTTTTTAACCAGATGTGCGATGACGTTGAGTTTGGTTTAGAAACACCCGTATTCTGCTTGCTTCCAATTCCTCACACACATACACCACTCGAACCTTCCGTAAAATAATCTTTCATAAAGTTCGGAAAGGTTGAAGCGAATTACAAGGACATTCACAGGCTTCATTGCAGGATACGCTGTGAGAGACGCGCGCTTTCTTTGATGTTACACTTGAAGTGTGCTGTCTCGCACGTCGGTATTTTCCTTACAAATGCTCTACGAAGTCATCATTTATGTGGTTTGGAATGGAGTGGACTTATATATTTAAAATATGAACCTCACTAACAGAAGGCTGCTTTCAATTTCAAATGCTGACGCGCGCTTTGCTTGTGAGACTGCTCGCGCATGCGGCTGTGCGACTCCGTGTAGTGGTTTAATGTACTTGTGCAAAATTAATGTAAACACAGCCAGTTATGTCTTAAGGGATTAAACGGACAGGACACACCGCATTACTTCTTTTATTTAAAAAGAGATGCGTGCGTGAATGCAGCTTAATAGATCTCCCGCAGTCTATGATGTCATAGTAAAATACAATAGTAAAGATGAAGAAAAATCACTCACAGTTCTTGAATGGAAAACGTTCAGATAATCTATAGGCTACTGAAAGCTCTTTTTGTTTGTTGTTTGTTATATTTTTCTATGCTCCTCTTTATTATTTGTTATATTAGTTTAAAATTCTTAACATACAACTGTTTTAACAAAAACAAATTAATTTGTAATTATTTTTTAAAAAGTACTTAATTACTTATGTAAACTAATGAATTAATAAGGGGGGGGGTACATAAAGAATCGTTCTGGAATCGGATCGTGACTCCCAGAATCGGAATCGGATCGGATCGTGAGGTGACCAAAGATTCCCACCCCTAATTAACACCAATACTGGTTTATAGAGAAGTACTTGTGTTACATGTAAAGAAAACAGAGGTTTTGTCAACAGTAAGACACACTTCAAACAAATACACATGAAATGTAAGAAAACTAAACTGAGCCAGTACGCATGCTCATTATAAACTGAATAGAAGAGTTACAGCAGGGAGAAAAAATACCCAGTTGCCCAAGTTATCCTAATTGCTTTTAATGCAATACTGTTAATGAAACCTCTGTTTTCTCTTTCAAATATTATATATTAAGTATAAACTAATACATGTTAATTTAATGAAGCAGACACAGATTATTGTCATCCGCGTCTGCCTGGACGATCTGTGAGGCTGTTACTAGTGAGTTCACAAGGTGATTATCTGGGTAAAGCAGGGCGCATACATAGCATGAACTTTCAGCACAAGTGAAACTCTCAAAATGTAAACATGGTGAAACAACACTATCTCCCATAACTTTAGTTTCATAACTTCATAAATTTGGTCTATTTAACTTTAACTTTAACGTTGTAGCTTATAGAGAGCTGACTTATGTTTGACTGAATCGTTTGCTTTATTTCTTCTTTTTTAGCTTCTTATACCTTTTAGGCTATTATACTTTTATAATGGCTATTATTGATCATTAAAACTGACATTTAACAAAAAGGGTTGTGACATTTTATTTTATATATTTAAAACATATAAAATATGTTATACATTTATTTTATTATACATGTTGCCTACATTCTCTTCACTATAAGTACATATATAATAAAATAAAATGACACAACCTTGTCTGTTTTTGCTAAATGTCAGTTTTAATGATCAATATTATAATGTTTTTTTATGTATCATATTTTTAAAATAAAAAACAAATAGGGTTGTGTTTTATTTTTAGTGTTGTTATAAATGTATGCAGTGAAGATAATCAATTGCGTTGCCTGAACCACATTTGTGTGGCCATTAATATGTTTAAGATTTTTTTTTATTGAAAATGAAGAGAGGCAGAGTGGTGTTTTATAACATATTTAGTTTTATTGTAGCCTAAATATACATAAAGAGATAACCGGGGTAGCAGAGTGAGCTGAGTGACGCTATCAGGAACGCCGCTGTTCCATTTGCAGAATTTTCGGACTTGCGTCCTCGGGAGTTCGTTCTCCTGAGTCGAACTTGTCAAGTCCGAACTACCAAAGACTCAAGTCTGAAATTTGCGTACTTGGTATTGAGAAACGGCCAATGATTCAGTGAGCCATTCATAACTCGATGACTCACTCATTTAGACAGTGACTTGCCGCCACCTACTGTCAGATTAAGTTTTTATATAAAAGTGTTTAGTCCATTACATGAACTTCTTTTCATCATTCCTCTGAAAAAAATGCTGTGTTGTTTCAACCCTTATTTGGGTCAAATATGGACAAACCCAGACGTTGGGTTAAAATTTTAATTAATAAGTTTAACCCAACGGTTGGGTTTGTCCATATTTGACCCAAATTTGGTTCTTCAAACCTGCATTGTTTTAGAGTGTAGTTAAAAAACTGCAAATGCTTCTTCTGCTTTGTTCATTCTCACCACTTTCTAGCATTTCCTTCATTTCTCTCCCTGTTATTCCTTAACTTTTCCTAATTCTTCCATCATCTTTTCCTCTGTTCTTCATATTGTCTGCAACTCATAAGCACATACTCTATAGATTCTGTAACTTGACAACAGCCACAAAAACCAGTTGGGTGCTTACTTATTGTGTATAGCGTGCCATTTAAATGACTGTGACCTATCCTTAATCTGGTCATAACTATTTCTCCTTTTCTATTCCCTCGCCTATTCTTCACAGCACCAGCTTTATTTTGAATACAAAAGTCTCTCTTTAGTCTCTGTCCCACTGATGTTGCCATTCTCTAATGGCTTCTTTTCAAACTATACTCTTTCCTTTGAGACTTTGACAACTTAATATGTGTTTCAATGTTCTCTTGACCTTTTTAACAGCTTGTTTGGCTAATTTGTCTACTCTCTCATTACCCACAATGCCAATATTAGCAGCAATCCAAATCAGTTGAATCTCATAGCATTTTTGCCTGATTCTTGTGTATATTGTCAATATTGTATACAGTAACTCCTGATAACAATTGGACATACCCATCATGAAACTGTACAGAGCTGACACTGAATCACCTCCAATTAAAGCTTTTTTTATTTTATTTTCCCCAATCATATTAGCGCATTAGTCAACCGCGATACACACTCAGATCAGTTGTGGTTCGTCTGCTTACCTCGCCTCTTTGATTAAAAATGGCAATTGCAGACAAAGTCCTTCCTGTTTCTGGAGCCTATACATCTGAACATAATCTTTATATTTATAGTCTATACATCTATAAAATTCAGCTACCAAATCTGTACTGTTGTTTGCTGTTTTGACTTGACAGGTTTGAAAGTCCACTCCCAAGTCTCTAGCTGCCGTATCTCCAAACCTTAACCTCTGTGCTCTCTCCCTTTCACAGTTATCTTGCAGTGTTCTTTTAGTTGGATGACGATCTTCATGTCCTTTTAGTTTTATCCAATAGTTTACAAGCAATGTTTACGTCAAATGTTCAGTGGCATTTATCCCACTCCAACCTGGTTTTCTCTATCGGGACAATTATTAATTGCGATCAGGCTTCTTGCATTCCATTGAAGGATTAGCATTACTAAAAGTATTAACCCACACATGTTGTCTGTTAACTCGACTGTACACTGAGTTCATCCCTCACTCCTTCCCAATTTAAAGGGATAGTTCACCCAAAAATGAAAATCAGCCCATGATTTACTCACTCTCAAGTCATTCTAGTAAATGACATTCTTCTTCAAGACGAATACAATCTGAGTTATATAAAAAATGTCCTGGCTCTTCCAAGCTTTATAATAGCAGTGAATGGCGTTTCTGTTTTGAAGTCCATAAAAGTGCATCTATCCATCATAGAAGACGCATGGTTTCGCTTCAGAAGGGCTTTATTGACCCCCCGGAGCCATGTGGAGCACTTTTATAGACTTCAAAACAGAAACAGCCATTCACTGCCATGATAAAGCTGTTCAGTTGTCTTAACAGCCTCAACATGTTTTCCTTTGTTTTTATCTGCTGTATTTTAACTTATTTTCTTATCTCATAAAAAACAATCCAAGTCACTTAAATAAATTGTTTTCAAAAAAATATAAAAAGCCTTTATTCTTTTATGGTTTTATGGGTATTTTAAAAACAGATGACAAGCAACGGCACACCAACCCCTTGCGGCTAATGAGCATTCATCAGGGTGTCACACGCGGTGTGCCATTGCTTTTCAACTGTTTTTGATTACTTTAAATAATCTTTTTGGGGTCATTTCTCAGCCAAATTGGATTTGTGATTAATTAATCGGATCACTTGACAGCCCTATTATTAACATATTAATATTCAGAGAAAAGAACATCAGTGAGTGAATTATGTTAAAAGACATCATGATACTCACACAGGGCCAGAGGTTCCAGCATGGTCATCATTGAGATCAGGGGGAATAATCATGGAGTTGTTACTCTTCATGGACACACAGCTGAATCCTGGAGATGGTCCATCACTGAGTTCAGGGGGAATAATCATGGAGACGTTACTCTTCATGGACACACAGCTGAATCCTGGAGATGGTCCATCACTGAGTTCAGGGGGAATAATCATGGAGACGTTACTCTTCATGGACACACAGCTGGATCCTGGATATGGTCCATCACTGAGTTCAGGGGGAATAATCATGGAGACGTTACTCTTCATGGACACACAGCTGGATCCTGGATATGGTCCATCATTGAGTTCAGGGGGAATAATCATGGAGACGTTACTCTTCATGGACACACAGCTGGATCCTGGAGATGGTCCATCATTGAGTTCAGGGGGAATAATCATGGAGACGTTACTCTTCATGGACACACAGCTGGATCCTGGAGATGGTCCATCACTGAGTTCAGGGGGAATAATCATGGAGACGTTACTCTTCATGGACACACAGCTGGATCCTGGATATGGTCCATCATTGAGTTCAGGGGGAATAATCATGGAGACGTTACTCTTCATGGACACACAGCTGGATCCTGGAGATGGTCCATCACTGAGTTCAGGGGGAATAATCATGGAGACGTTACTCTTCATGGACACACAGCTGGATCCTGGAGATGGTCCATCACTGAGTTCAGGGGGAATAATCATGGAGACGTTACTCTTCATGGACACACAGCTGGATCCTGGATATGGTCCATCATTGAGTTCAGGGGGAATAATCATGGAGATGTTACTCTTCATGGACACACAGCTGAATCCTGGAGATGGTCCATCACTGAGATCAGGGGGCAGAGGCATGGAGATGTTACTCTTCATGGACACATAACTGAATCCTGGAGATGCTGCTCTCTGAGTGTGAACAGAAGCCTCCTCCTCTTTCTCCTCATGCACACTCATTTTATAGGCAGACTTCTACTTCTCTTCTTCCCAAATAAGAGACAGCGTTTCAGGCCTGTATGTGGAAACAAATAACATACACTGAATTTTGACACAATTAAGTTTCAGTTCAAGCTGGTGACCAGAAGTGAGGGTGCACAGTGACGGAAGTGGCCGGGCCCCTGCGGTGCCGACGCTGTGTGTTTTGGGGACCAAGAAGCTGTGGTTTCCAGTGATTTTAGGCCAGTTAAGGGACGTTTTTATGATGACACAAAACAGGAACGCCCACTATCGGCGCAATAATACTGGGATAATGAGCTCACAGGTGTGTGTTTATAGAATATTTTACAATTCTTTGTACACAGCTCAGCCCATCATAACCAAGGACCAGAACTATCTATTTTATAATATTAATTTCTTAGTACATTCCTTTAGGATATTTGACTAGTGGTGTGGCGGATCTCATTTGTGCTTTACCAAAACATTTTATTATTATGAAGTTGAATTATTATCCACATCCTAAATGATACTGCAGACCAACTTCAACTTTCTATTCTCAAACTACATTTTTTACTTGTTTTTTTTTTTTATTCTTGCTTGTTTTCTGAATTCGTATACATTGATTTATGTAGTTTATTTATCTTTTTTGTAGTGCTGGGCCGTTATCGGCGTTAACGTGCTGCGTTAACGTGAGACTCTTATCGGGCGATAAAAAAAATATCGCCGTTAATCAAAGTTGGGTTGGGATCATAAATAGCTTTTTCGAATATCGTTATATTTTCGCGCAATTCTAATGTGTAGTATGACGCCGCGCCTACTGTCACAGATCGCGCAGTAGGGTATTTTCCTGTCAGGGACACAAGGTGTACTTTTACTTTGTTACGTTGGGCGACGTTCCTCTCGTTACTTTATTTTAATGCAATACGTTGTTAAATTAGTTTATTCCAAGCACGCTGTGTCCTTTGTATGGGCATGAGTGATGCTCATTTACAAATGAATCACTCTATTGAGTCGATTCTGTTCAAAGACTTCATCAAACAAGTTGTCAGATGATCTGTCTAAATCGGTTCGCGAATCAGTTGATCTGTTCAGTTCCTCGCGTACTGAATCGTCTGAAGCGCTTTCAATTCACACTCGGAGTCGAAACAGGAAGATTTAAGAGCATCAAGAGCGTTGGATGAAGTGGCCGATCTACAGTCTAGTCTAGTGAAAGCAAATCTACAAATGCATCATATTTTTGCCAGCGATATAGATCTTTATTAGTTGAACATCTTCGTAAGCTGTCTGGGAATGAATGATTCCACAGGACGATACATTCGATTTCATTTCATTCAGGTAATACATTTTACAACCAAACAGATTATTACGCCACGATAGCACTAATAAAAAGTATGACATTATCCGGTTTTTGGTCATACATTAATTTATAGGCTACAAAAAAAAAACGCTTCAGAGCGTCGGCGCACAGGTTAACAGGTTAAATAAGCTACCATTGTCCACAGTTTATGAAATGAACACCCGCTATCCCGTGGTATATGTGTGTGTATTGCGCAGTGGCATTATCACAAGAATAGTTTACATTGATTGAAACTAATTTGTTTAAAAATGAGGCTATTGCAGTAACAAGGCAGGTTCACAAAAAATCATTATGACATATGATGACATTATTTTTTGATCTAACGAGCATTGGCGATGGAAAAACGGACTATCGTGCCTATTGTTTTTTCTTCTTCTTCCAATTAGCCTACTATGTTAAAAAAAAGGACGAAAACATGTTACTTGTTCAATTAATAAACAGCTTGTTTGATGACAAATCGCTAAAGATGAAATTGGCCTCCCTTTCTGTCATTGCGTTTTTTTTGTTTTGTTTTTAAGATATTCGACTTTTGCTCCTCGATTGTCGAATGGCATTTTTGGCAGAAATGCACATCCCTACGCGAGGCAAACTATTCTCAAAGACTTACTTTTAGTCATTATTTGGTAGCACACATATTCTGAATGCCTTCGGGAGAATTCAAATGAGCCATTTTAATCTAGATTAATCTAGATTAATTTCAATATTAATCTAGATTAATCTAGATTAAAAAAATTAATCTATGCCCACCCTCTACTTTTTAGATAACAGAACAACCAGCTTCCTCATTGCTGCTGCCGAGCACCGTGGCGATTCAGGCCATGGGGATCGCAAATGGATTTAGCAGAGGGGTTAGAGATGGGCCTTGCCTTATCTCTGCCTTCACCTGCTAGATTCAGTGCCTTTTCTCAAGGTTTGGAAGCATGCACTGCGGTTTCTTCTGCCACGAGTGAAACACTGTTCTTCGGTATTAGGCTACAAAGAGCACAGTTATGGGGTGATTCCTAAGGTGGAAGAGACGCTGTATTCAACAGCTGGTCAGGCTGCAGCATGTCTACATACCATGTCTCTGCTGCAAGCCTACCAGGCTGATTTGTTAGGAGACTTCGATGAGGGCGGGGGTTTTGCCCGCGTCTGAGGGCAGTCCCCTCCAAGGGGAAGTGGGTAACCCTAATTATAGGAAGCTAGTTATTTTAGCTAGTTAAGTTTTAAATATGGATATTTTTTCTTATACGAATGCATCACTTCACTTCAGAAGACCTTTATTAACCCCCACAGATCCGTGGCGACTGGCGAGCACTTTAATCATGAATAGATACGCTATTTAATGTACTTCCAAAGTCAAACAGCCATTCACTTACATTATCAAGCTTGGAAGAGCCAGGACATATTTTTAATATAACTTAGTATGAGTCTGAAAGAAGAATGTCATATTATACACCTAGGATGGCTTCAGGGTTAACGTTAGTAAATCATGGGCTATTTTTCATTTTTGGGTGAACTATAGCCTCATTCAGAGCCGGCCGAGCCACTAAGCGACCGTTGCAATTGCAAAGGGCCCCGTGGCCAGCAGAGGGCCCCCTAGAGTCACTGCTAGCTAGTGGGGGGTGGGGGGGGGGGGGGGGGGGGGGGAATCGCACAACAAAAGTAACATAAAATAAATAAATAAATAAAAATGGACCTACAGCGCTCTTTATCAGGCATCATGATAAGCACAGAGTTGTTATTTATTTAGTTCTGTATTATGGCAAATCAGCCGGGAGCTCCCCGCGAAGGCGCGCGCGCGTCTTGATCCCGACTGCCCCTATGATGTCACTTGTTGTCACTTGGTCAGTCAGTTAGCGACTCCGACGAATCGACGATGTCTGACAAGAAACGAAAATATATTTCTGGCCAAGAAAAACGACAAAAAAGAGCCTGGAAGAAGAGAAGAAGTAAGAAGATAAAGGTACGTAAGCCTGTAGGCTAAATTTTCCGATTTCTGTAATATGGATAATCTGCACTAAAAGTCTTATTTTAACATTAGCCTAAATCGTGCTTGTATTAATTTTCTACAGTTGTTTAACTTACATGCTAATAACATGCTGCATAAAATTGGTTTAGTATTAGGCCTATACCATTTGCTGTGGTGTTACTGTTAAAGCATTTAACAGAACAATATAAACCCAGTTTGGATTCTACACTAAAGGGCTAACATTAGTTTACTCCTTATGTCCCCTTAGGAGCACTATTAAAGTAACGTTATATGCTGCCAGTAAGCAAAGCTCCAGCTGTTGGTGAGTATAAAGGGGCTGTAAAATGATAACCTTCTGCATTTTAAAAAATAAGTCTAACTTTATGTATAATTATTTTCTTTATTTGGATTGGATTTTAATAGTTATATTGAAATGTTACCTTATTCTTAATATTGTTACTATTGATCTTCTTTGTGGTGTTTTAGATGTTATTGTTAATTTTGTTTATTTGAAAAATCTATTTATTATTTTATATAATATTATATTTAAATGTTATTCTATTTGCTCTATTTAATTTAAATTATATATATATATATATATATATATATATATATATATATATATATATATATATATATATATATATGTGCTGTAGTTAGTGACTCTTAAACTCTGGTGTCAATAAAAATGTATCTTTGTTCAGTGATAATCACTTTATCTGTCTTTTTATTCAGCAAGTTAATCAGTGTGTATGTGTGTCTTGCACTGCAATTCAGCTCAGTGGTATCATAATTTTCCTGTTAGACATCAAACATAGTATATACATAATATATATATATATATAGTATGGTATAGTTATAAGGTAGTCATTGCTTTTCTTTAGGCCTTAAAACGGTCAAAGGGGCCTCCAACCAAATTTTGCTTAGGGCCCCCAAAGGTCTAGGGCTGGCTCTGGCTTCATTCGTTGGCAAACACTAAGCTTACAAAGTTTTTGGCACAGAGTTGTTGAGCTCATGTGCTCATAATCTTGAGACCAGTGGCGATTCTAGGGGGTGGCCTGAAAGCTCATTGGCCACCCCAGATCTGATAGGTAGGCCTAGTTGGTCAAGTTCGTCAACACAAGAAACAAGAGAAATGCTGTCTATCAATGATGACAGCTGATCAACTGATTTAGGGCCAGTTTTACATTTTTAACTAACACCGTAATGGTCGTACTGAGGCTGTGAGAGCTGATTTCTGCTCAGCGGACGTTTGGCCATGCAGGTCATGTGACAATGAGATGAGCGCGCTGGCTGCTGCTGCTCCGTGAAACAGGAGGACGGTCGGTCACAGTTACAACAGCAACAATACAACAACGATAAAAACGCTGGAATCTGTAGATTGAGAGGTATGGTAATTTAATGTTTAGTTATATCGTAGTTCCCTCTGAATGTGTAGGAAAACTAAAAAAGTCGAACTACACTGTACAAGCTAGCTTAGCAGCCTGCAAACCAAGTTAAGAGTGCAGACAGTTGAAGAGGGCGCGCGCGCAGCTCTTAAAGGGGCCACACCTTATTTCCACTCGTTACACCGCCATGGAATGCTATTTTCTGGACTGAAGACTTGAGGGTGTGTTTTGCAGATGTGTGTGTTCAATAGAGCTAATGTTATATTTTTGGCCAACCCATGTGTGAAATATAGTGTGACAGTCTAGATTTAAGTTATAACACAAGAACAAGCTGTGACTTATTTGCTCTGTTATTTAAGGGCTGTTTTTGTTTGTATCAATTAGCTCATCTTCACTTAAATTAACTTATTAATGTGTGCTGAATCAAAGCCAATGTTTAAATTTATACCTTCATCGGGGCCTTGGATATGAATACTGTCTTAGTTGAAAACCACTTTTTGCACATTTTCATACATCACAAGGCATCCTAATGATATTATTCAGTCATCAGGCCATCCTCTGTGTTACCTGTATTGTTACCCATGTTTGCTTTACTAGTTTAAGTCCCCTCTTGTGGTTAAATAAAAACACACCTGGCAAAGAACAAACTAAGAAATTCAAATTCCAGTCTCTCTAACAAATTATATCTAAGCTAAATAATAACATATACTAAGCATGTAAAGAACAACAAATATTTATGTTTTTTTCTTACAAGCTTAGTTTTTCTTTTGCTTTTACAGATATACTTTTTAATATACAGGTGACACAGATGATGAGCTTATGACTGATGCATATTATTCTATATAGGATGAGTTAAGAGCGGTTTAATTTTGCTACTCTAATCTAACTTGTGAAGAGGCAAGTTAATCCACTACAAGAAAATAGCTCTTAGAAAATGTTTACCCTATCCTGCCCATAATTACTGATTAAAAATAGACATGTTAAAATAACCAGAGATACTTGAGGATTGTGATAGGTGGTTAGTACTGTTTTTAACAGGATAGTCAATCATCTTTATTTGACAGTTATGAGACAGGAAATCATGGGAGAGAGAGAGGATGTGACATGCAGCAAACTAGGACCGGGATTCGAACCATAGTCGGCTGCGTACATATACGCATTAAACTTCGATATGCCATGGCCACCCCACCCACACTAGCTTTGTCCTGGATACGCCACTGCTTGAGACGCCACTCATTTGCCATTAAAATACTAAATCTGGCCCAAATCGTTATTAATTTATATACCGACGTCACTTTGATACGGATGAGTGTGTACAGACATTTTCAGTAACGTTAGGCTAATAGGCCTAAGTTTGTTTTTGCTTTCGTTTTAGCTTAAACTCGTTTACCACTAACTTTTCCCTATAGGATTATATTTGCCTAACTTTTTTTGGACTACATGAGTAGAGTCGGAGTCGTGTGCTGTAGCCTATCTGTGAGTTTGTCTTAAACGCCCTGCGCTTCTCATCAGGTGTGCCGCCATTATAGTTTCTGCCGTGATAGTCGCTGTCTGTCAGGAGAGAAGCGAAGCGAACACATTTTAGGTGTTTAAATTGTTTAGCCGCAAAAGGCGTCTAAACAATTGATATTACTCATTAATATTATAACTGTGAAACGTTTTAATGAACTTACCGTCACACGTGAAGACATTGTTAGATTTTGATTTGGCCGAAATGGAGTCTGGTCATCCGATATGAACGCTTTCGGTTTCACTGTTGACAGTTCGGCTCCGTGAGTTCCTCCCCTGAACGTGATGACGTTGATCTGCGTGCTCTCTGTAGTTCTCCGCACTGATATGGCGAGTGGGCAGTGCCACAGATAACCTAACAAAGTAGACTGTCGTGTGACAGCTACGTGTGTGGATGTGGATAGGGTACTCCGTCAGTGCACAACGTCGTCGATAAGCCCATCGCCGTCAGCCTTGATTTTTTTTTTTTTCTCTCAAACTTCGACTCCTTCTTCATTTTTATTGTCGGTTGGCAAACTAGCTGAGAGGTGCATTAGCGCCACCAACTGGAGTGTGTACAGGCCTACATGCTCCAGCCTTCATTAAAAGTGTTGCTGTAAAATTTAATTTTACATAGAAATTTAAAAGGACGGTAATCTAATGGATATTTATTCGAAGATATTAATGAGCTTAAATTTGTAAGTTATGTCAGCTGAGAAGTTTGTACTATTAAAAAACACTAGGCTACTTTAGCTTTGTTGATATGATGTCTATGTCCAAATTTGTAAAAGGCTCTTTTGTAAATCAAACTAAAAGGAAGTGTGAAAATATTCTAGAAATATGACCACTGTTCAATGACCTCCTTGAGGCAAAACACTTTTACATAGTTTTAACCTCCCCTCTAGAAAGTAACCATCAAATCTTCTCTTTTTCATCTTTCCTATTTGCAGTTTGTATTTTTATGCGTTGTAAGCATAGACTATATGTATTCCTGTATGTTGCATTGTTAATACTGTTATACTAATATAGAGGAAAAAAATATTTCCTATTTGTTCTCTTCAGTGGAGTGATTCAATATGTCTTGCTGTTTTGTTATTTCATCACATGATGGCACTGTTGCATTTTTTGTCAATTGCACAATTTAATAATGCATTTTAGGCTGAAAAAGTCTATAATATCTCGTGAGTTAATGTTTGAATATCATAAGATTGCAATTGGCATCTAGGGTGCACATTGTTAAATAATGCACAAGTGGTAATTTATTAAAAATATGACATAACGTCACTTTTGGTGATGGGCCAGCGGGAGATTTCATGCATTTAGACAATCACCATCGAGAGAGGACCACACTTTTTGCAAACAATTTATACAGTTTACAACAAATGAAGAAAAAATGTTGCCACTAGTAGGGCCTACTTCTTGTAGATTTTTATCAGTAAGGTTGTCCAAATTACTTTTTTCGGTGTTCTGTCGATTTATGCTACCGGGTTCTGCGCATGTGCGTGTTCCACAAGCGTTGTCCATTTCCCTGCCCATAAATCTGTGCAACTTTGCTGTTGGCCATGCCGTCAGGACACTGGCTGATCGTCAAAAATCATAATTAGTCTATTAGAATATGCTACCCCTGATAAATTAAATAAAGATGGCATAATATAGTTTATATTGCTCCCCATCTTCAAAAAAAAGCATTTTTTCTTTATTGATTTAGGTAACATCAAGAATAATACTACAAATGACAATGGCATTGACAAGGTGTTTTACTTCAAATTTGCAAACAGAATTATAACACTTAATTTTGACACAGGGCTAGTCAGAACTCAGTAACCATTTCTGGTCACACTCAATTCAAACAGTCAGAATGCTGGTGGTGGCTCCACAGCCTCTGTATATTATGTAAAAAATTATTTAAAATGTTACTCTTCTATTGGTTGTGAATAATCAGATATTCAGTGTTACATCAAAGCCTTATCAGAAATAGTATCTATTTTTGGAACACAGACACATGTTTTGTCAAGTGTAAATAGGGTGTGTCCATGAAATGACCAGACCAGCAAAAAATGTAATTGTGAAAAAAAACATGTTTTATTTTAAATCAATAGTTATGTATTCAGCTATACTCATTTAAATCGTATTTTATACTTTCATAAGGGCAGGAGGAGTGATGGAGGGACTCATAAGGGCAGGTGGAGTGATGGAGGGACTCATAAGGGCAGGAGGAGTGATGGAGGGACTCATAAGGGCAGGAGGAGTGATGGAGGGACTCATAAGGGCAGGAGGAGTGATGGAGGGTCTCATAAGGGCAGGTGGAGTGATGGAGGGACTCATAAGGGCAGGAGGAGTGATGGAGGGACTCATAAGGGCAGGTGGAGTGATGGAGGAACTCATAAGGGCAGGTGGAGAGATGGAGGGACTCATAAGGGCAGGTGGAGTGATGGAGGGACTCATAAGGGCAGGAGGAGTGATGGAGGGTCTCATAAGGGCAGGAGGAGTGATGGAGGGACTCATAAGGGCAGGTGGAGTGATGGAGGAACTCATAAGGGCAGGTGGAGTGATGGAGGGACTCATAAGGGCAGGAGGAGTGATGGAGGGACTCATAAGGGCAGGTGGAGTGATGGAGGGACTCATAAGGGCAGGTGGAGTGATGGAGGGACTCATAAGGGCAGGTGGAGTGATGGAGGGACTCATAAGGGCAGGTGGAGAGATGGAGGGACTCATAAGGGCAGGTGGAGAGATGGAGGGACTCATAAGGGCAGGTGGAGTGATGGAGGGACTCATAAGGGCAGGTGGAGTGATGGAGGAACTCATAAGGGCAGGTGGAGTGATGGATGGACTCATAAGGGCAGGTGGAGTGATGGAGGGTCTCATAAGGGCAGGTGGAGAGATGGAGGGACTCATAAGGGCAGGTGGAGTGATGGAGGGACTCATAAGGGCAGGAGGAGTGATGGAGGGACTCATAAGGGCAGGTGGAGTGATGGAGGGACTCATAAGGGCAGGTGGAGTGATGGATGGACTCATAAGGGCAGGTGGAGTGATGGAGGGTCTCATAAGGGCAGGTGGAGAGATGGAGGGACTCATAAGGGCAGGTGGAGTGATGGAGGGACTCATAAGGGCAGGAGGAGTGATGGAGGGACTCATAAGGGCAGGTGGAGTGATGGAGGGACTCATAAGGGCAGGTGGAGTGATGGAGGGACTCATAAGGGCAGGTGGAGTGATGGAGGGACTCATAAGGGCAGGTGGAGTGATGGAGGGACTCATAAGGGCAGGTGGAGTGATGGAGGGACTCATAAGGGCAGGTGGAGTGATGGAGGGACTCATAAGGGCAGGTGGAGTGATGGAGGAACTCATAAGGGCAGGTGGAGTGATGGATGGACTCATAAGGGCAGGTGGAGTGATGGAGGGTCTCATAAGGGCAGGTGGAGAGATGGAGGGACTCATAAGGGCAGGAGGAGTGATGGAGGGTCTCATAAGGGCAGGTGGAGTGATGGAGGGTCTCATAAGGGCAGGTGGAGAGATGGAGGGACTCATAAGGGCAGGAGGAGTGATGGAGGGTCTCATAAGGGCAGGTGGAGTGATGGAGGGACTCATAAGGGCAGGTGGAGAGATGGAGGGTCTCATAAGGGCCGGTGGAGTGATGGAGGGTCTCATAAGGGCAGGTGGAGAGATGGAGGAACTCATAAGGGCCGGTGGAGAGATGGAGGAACTCATAAGGGCCGGTGGAGTGATGGAGGGTCTCATAAGGGCAGGTGGAGAGATGGAGGAACTCATAAGGGCAGGTGGAGTGATGGAGGGACTCATAAGGGCAGGTGGAGTGATGGAGGGACTCATAAGGGCAGGAGGAGTGATGGAGGGTCTCATAAGGGCAGGTGGAGTGATGGAGGGTCTCATAAGGGCAGGTGGAGAGATGGAGGAACTCATAAGGGCCGGTGGAGAGATGGAGGAACTCATAAGGGCCGGTGGAGTGATGGAGGGTCTCATAAGGGCAGGTGGAGAGATGGAGGAACTCATAAGGGCAGGTGGAGTGATGGAGGGACTCATAAGGGCAGGTGGAGTGATGGAGGGACTCATAAGGGCAGGAGGAGTGATGGAGGGTCTCATAAGGGCAGGTGGAGTGATGGAGGGTCTCATAAGGGCAGGTGGAGTGATGGAGGAACTCATAAGGGCAGGTGGAGTGATGGAGGGACTCATAAGGGCAGGTGGAGTGATTAAGCCAAAATGGGGGTCAACCTTGAACCTTAAACCTTAACCTCTTAAATGAACAGAAACTTAGTAGTCCAGTCATTTTATGAAAAAAGGTTGAACAAATTGCAACAGAAGCAAACTCAACTGATTTTGTATCCTCAATATGTCCTGAGTAAGGGAAAAAAAGCCCCGAAGAATACCTTGCAATAGCATAGATAGATTATCCAAAATAAGTATACATTTGCTAATACAATTTCTAATAAAAAAATAAAAAACGTTTCATGAAAATGAGCAGCAGCAATTGTTCAGCCAAATGGCAGCTATCACTGTTTCTGTTGGTCTGCTGTGAACTTGTACACACTATTTTTATAGGCTACACTAAAACTACATCACACTCAGTGACACAAACCAAACACACTGCCATGCTCACATACACATCAAATGGTTAAAAACACTCATCACACGGCCTATTCAAAGACAATGGCACCATCTAGTGGATGAAAACTGCAATAGACGTTACAACAGAAACTTCAAAAACTCAATTAATTGTGGGGTTTACTTAATTAAATATTACATTGAGTGTGTTTTTACATTTATTCGTTAATAGACTATAGCTCTAACTTAAACTAAAAACTAGCTAAACAACAAGCTAGGCCTACATGTTTTATTTACATCAATGTTTTCCTCATATTTGATGCTGCCATAAATGTTTTGTTTTTCAATGGTTAACCATTTTAAAAACACAGCTTGAGAGGCAGTTTAATCGAGTGCTGCAAATTCAAACATGAGAACCAATCAAAAGCACCAGAACAGCAACAAACTTTACTAAACAACTTTGGCTGGAAATGGCAAAGGAAGACAACGTGCATATGAAATACACATAATGCAACAAAAAGAATATTATTCAATATATAGCCAAGCTTATTAAAGAAAATATTCATATGGCATCTTAAACATTTTCATAAGAAATTGTGATTTAATTACATATTTTACCAGTAGGCCTAACTGTAACAGATAACACTTACATTTACAGTATGTTGT